ATGTCTGATCATCCTGGCCTGTCTTCAGCAAGAATCCTGTTAGGTTGATTTAGCCATAAACCTTCTTCCCCTTGGTGTTTCCTCTTAGTAATTTTCCATCCAATGGACTCCACCCTGCTCCTTCACTCCAAATTCTCACTTTTCCTTTCTATATTCAAAGGTGAGCCCAGTCTCTCTACCATACTGCGAAACCTGATTGAAATGGTCCCTGTACCTATCTTGATGGTCTTGTATAAAGTCTACTTCACCATGTTTTAACAAGTGTCATGAATAATTTTTTAAACTTTTAAGTAATGGGGTACATGTACAGGATGCACAGGTTTGTTACATAGGTAAACGCGTGTCATAGGGGTTTGTTATACAGATTATTTCATCACCCAGGTATTAATCCTAGTATCTGTCAGTTATGTATTTTTCTTCTTTAACATGAGAAAGGGAGAAATCAAAAAAGGGAGTAAATAAGTGACTCTGTCATCTGGTCAATGACTCAACAGCTCCCAGGACAGGGAATTTACTACGTCTTTAGGTGGCTCATTATAATATTAGAAACTTACTTAGATTTTGAGCCGAAAGCTTTTTCCCTAAAACTGCCACCCACTCATTGGTGCATGTTCTATTTCCTGCAACCGCACAGAACTACTTCACTCCAACTTACATGTGACAGTCCTAAAAATATTTGAAGAAAGTTATCACATTCCTTCTCTCTAGGCTAAACATTGTCATTTCTTTCAACCGTATCTCCCACAGTGTAATTTTTAAAATCTCATTATCCTGGTTACTCTCTATTTGTCTTGCTCTTGTTTCCTTTCCTTCCATGCTTCCTCCACATTTCTTCGAATTCTTCCTGCGAGTGTTGATTCTGTATCCTTGACTACTCAATAAGAGTGTCTTTTTCATTCTATGGAGCAAAACAACTCATAATTCTGTTCTAGTGTTATCGTTCGCCTGTTGGCTTTTGATATTGCTGCTGTCACCCTAAAGTGGTGATTTTCAATCTGTGTTCCTGGAAACCGGAGAGCTCAGCAGAAGCACCTCCAGGTAGTTGAGGAGGAGCTAAGAGCTGGGAGTGGAAACCTCCCACATCTCTGCTTCAGCTAGAGCAACTATACTTTTATCCACCTCTATATCCAGCTTCTGCATGGAATTGCATTTGAAAAGATTGTTCTGAAAAAAAAAAATTAAAGTTTTCACAGCATCACCTTTCAATAGAGGTTGGAATAGTACAGGAATGTGCAGAAGACAGCGGGAATCCTTGGAGCCAAAGAGGTTACCATAGATTTATTCGGGCAGGAATACTTTGTCCTAGGAACTCAGCTTCTTCTAAACAGTCTACCAACTTGAGATCAAAGTATCAATTGCATTCAGAGGGGGTTGCTTCTGTTCTTAATAGCACAGACACTTTCATCTTCCCCACTAAAATGAGCTCCTGCCTGGCATGACTGTGTGTAGCCAGCTCAATCCACTTAATTGTCACTGGGGACACAAAATGGGGCAATTCCATGGTATATGGGAATGGAATATCCTCAAATTCAGAATATGTGATGCTGTATTTCCATTCCCAAAGGATGGGATGAAGGTCAATGGCCAGTTTCTCCTAGGTAAGGATAGGGTCATTATTTGGAGGCATAATTAAGAACCATTTCCATGCAAGGGTTTAGGAAATTGGTCCTCAATTTTAACCACACATTAGAGTCTCCAAGGGAATTTAGATAATACCAGTGCCTAGGCATTATGCTGAGAGGCTCTAATTTAATTAGTTTTGGGTAGGACTCTGGCATCAGTATTTTTTAATCTCCCCAGGTGATTTTGACACGTAGTCAGAGCTGAGAACCTCTCATTTAAGATAAAACTAATTGAACATGATTTAAATAAGAAACCATTTGTTCAGGTATGGAAAGGCAGTAGAACTAATGGTTGAAGTGACTGAGGGATTTAATGAGACTAAAGAGATTATTCTGTGGTGAGCAGGAAGGGAAGAAGGTACCAGGAAGTAATTGTTTCATTTAGCATTTCTCTTGGGCTTCAGAATGATACATTTGCATATTGGAAGGGTACATTTATGGTACTCTCAATATGCACCTCAGAAAGATTTTTAAACCATCTCTTACAGGCATAGACAAAAGGCTAGCCACAACCAGAAAGCTTGCTAGCCAATTGTTGTCTTAAGTATAGTAGAATCAAGGAAGGATTTGAGTCCAGGGAACTGAGACAAGGGAAAGCAGAATAAACTACATCAAACTTCTCTCTCTCTCTCTTTTTTTTTTTTTTTAATAGAGACAAGATCTCGCTCTGCTACCCAGCTGGAGTGCAGTGGTGCAATCATAGTTCACTACAGCCTTGAACTTCTGGGCTCAAGCAATCCTACCACCTCAGCCTCCCAAATAGCTAGGACTTCAGGCACGGAGTGCTGCACTCAGCTAATTTTTTTATTTTTGTGGAGACAGGGTCTCCCTATGTTGCTCAGGCTGATCTTAAGCTCCTGGGCTCAAGCAATCTTCCCACCTCAGCTTCCCAAGATGCTGGGATTACAACTGTGTGTCACCACACAGAGCCCAAACTTCTTTCTTGTTTGCACTCTCAACTCCCTGGTCCCTTATCTTTCCTTTTTTTTAACTGTATTTGTTGAGTTCCTCTGTATCAGGCCAGATGTACTGAGTACAGAAAATAAAAAAGTGAAGACATTAACTTAGGGCTTGATTGCCAGTATGAGAGCTTATGGTCTAGCTTTTCCTTCCTTCTCATTCAAGATTTTTAAGCAGCATGGTACATTCCATCTGTCAGCTTTCCCACCTCCAATTCAGATCAATCTTCCTTCCTTTCCATTGCCCTATAACTTGCAAAGCTATAATCACCCAATGGGTTTTCCTGCCCACTGCACAGAAAAAATCAACTCACTGAGACCAAGGCATTGCAGTAAAGAGTTTAATTAATTCAAGTGCACCCATGTGGCAGATGGAGTTATTACTCAAACTAGTCTCCCCAAAGGCTTGGAGGTTAGGATTTTTATGGCAATTTTGTGAACAGAGGGCTAGGGAATGGATACTTCTGATTGGTTGGGGATGAAATAATAAGGGTGTGGAAAATGGTCCTAATGCACTGGGTCCACCTCTGGGTGGGGCCACAGTACAGTTGAGTCCGGGTGGAGTCAGTCTGAAAAACGTCTTTAAAAAAACCAATCAGGCCTGGCGCAGTAGCTCATACTTGTAATTCCAGCACTTTGGGAGGCCGAGGCAGGTGGATCACCTGAGGTCGGGAGCCTAACCAACATGGAGAAACCAGCCTAACCAACATGGAGAAACCCCGTCTCTACTAAAAATACAAAATTAGCCAGATGTGGTGGCACATGCCTGTATTCCCAGCTACTTGGGAGGCTGAGGCAGGAGAATCGCTTGAACCCAGGAGGTGGAGGTTGTAGTGAGCCGAGATCGCGCCATTGCACTCCAGCCCGGGCAACAAGAGCAAAACTCCATCTCAGAAAAAAGAAAAAAAAAAAAAAAAAAGGAAAAAACGATCTTAGGTTCTACAATAGTGATATTATCTATAAGAACAATTGGGGAAGTCACAAATCTTGTGACCTCCTGCCACAACTCCTGAGCATTTAGGGATTATAGAAACTACACCTACATTGAATGTGTCAATCAAATTCAAATTAAAATACATGTAATTGTTGAAGAAATGGTTTTCCAGAAAAAAAAAAGTAAAATATTTTATATCTTTTTTTTTTGAGACAGGGTCTCACTCTGTTACCCAGGCTGGAGTGCAGTGGTGTGATCGTAGCTTATTGCAGCCTTGAACTCCTGGACTCAAGCAATCCTCCTACCTCAGCCTCCCAAGTAATTGGAACTACAAGCATGCACCACCATATCCAGCTAATTTGTGTTATTTTTTGTAGAGATGGGATCTCACTATGTTGCCCAGGCTAGTCTCAAACTCCCGGGCTCAAGCAATCCTCCCACTTTGGCCTCCCAAAGTGCTGAGATTACAGGCATGAGCCACTGTGCCTGGCCTTGTTTTATATCTTTTTAATGAGAAAAAGAATTACAGGTCAATGAGATGCTTAAGACAGAGTTTGAATCTCTTCCATTTTTCCTGAGTCTGATATAACAATTAACATCCTTTATAGTCAGTACTCCTGGCAGAAACCTAAAAAAGAAGCAGGAAGAGAGGATATTTAGAATTTATTTTTTTAAGATATAATAAGAACAAGAACTATACATAGAGCAGTCTCTATGTGTATTTGCATAGAGATGTATGGCTCATCAGCTGAAAGAAACTCAGACAGTGTAACAAACTTTCCTTGCATTTCTCAAGGTACATGATAGAAAATCCAGTCATAACTCAAAACAAAATTTCTTAAATCCTTTTTCTCTTTTTATTCTTCCCAATTTTTTCACGCCTCCCCACCAAGAAAACTGTCTGTCTCCAGCAGCTAGCTAGGTACACCCCCCTACACATCTTCATCGCTTCCTACCACTCATCTCTTAGTTTCCCAACTTAAGTATTTTCCCTTTCCTCTAACCTTTCTTGTCTTATACCTATCCACTGGTTTTTCAGATTCCAGAGACCTTTTTTTTTTAGACACAGGGTCCCCCTATGTTGCTCAGGCTGCTCTCAAACTCCTGGGCTCAAGCGATCCTCCCACCTTGGCTTCCCAAAGTGCTGGGATTACAGGTGTGTGCCATCACACCCAGCCCCAGATTATTTTAAAATCCTGGAATCACGCTGGTAGAGACAGAACTCTCCTTAGACGCTAAAAAGAGGAGAGAATCTGTGTAAATGAATACAAAATTACCTTTAGTTAGTAAAAGGGTAGGAGAACTCTCTTTATGAATAAATCTTGTTTCCACCACATTCATCTATATAGTATGTAGCTGAATGGGAACTCATCCACACCATCTGCCCACTGACTTCTAAGTCTGGAGGGAGGCAAAGCAACTCAGATTCAGAGTTCTCTGTTTCCTCCATAAAAGTAAACTGCCTCTAACGTGTCTCTTCCACAGCACATATAGCACCAAGAACACTCTAAGAAGTCCGTTCAACGTTTCCATCAGAAGTCAAAACAGAGGATGACTTACGGAATGCCAGTGGGGTGAGGATTTTTTCAGGACTACTCCCCCCAAAAAACCAAACATTATAAGCATGCAACAATTTAATGTCTCTTCAAATTCCCTAAGGAAGAGCATACAGCAAATGAAGAAATATACTAAATATTGGTAAGAACAGCAAGAATCTGTGGGATTTAACCCATGACCCAGTCCCTCCCTCACCCCCTGAGCTCAACATAAGGAAAGTTTCGATCTGGGTAGGTGAGGCTAAGAACACAGGGCTCCCTGTCTCTCCAGTTCCCAGTCAGAAGCTATGAAATCTCACCAGGAGAGGCGTGTTGCTAGCATTGCTCACCCCCCAACTCTGAGCTTCCTGTGGCAGAGACTAAATTCTAGGTGAATATAGCCAAGACGGTGAGGGCTCCCTGCCTCCACCCAGCTTCCACACAAAGGGTGGAGGCTCTACCCGAGTCTGGTATAGCAGGCCAAAAATCCTGGAGGCCTCATAACCTTCACTGATATGGTTTGGCTGTATCCCCACCCAAATTTCACCTTGAATTGTAATAATACCCAAGTGTCAAGAGGAGGGCCACGTGAGATAATTGAATCATGGCAGCAGTTTCCCCCATGCTGTTCTCATGGTATTGAATAAGTCTCAGAAGATCTGACGGTTTTATAAATGGAAGTTCCCCCTGCATAAAGGTGGCACCAGTCTGGGGTTGGATAGGTAGTTGCTGGGTAGGTATACTTGCAGAATTATTATTTTGTGTTTAAGATTATCATGACCTTTGTACAAGGTTATGGTTTTTGCAGGGTCTTTTGTAATAGTTTTTATCAAGCATTTATGCTTGAGAACCATCCCTTCATGGCATTCCTCAGCTCTATTTGTCAGATTGTTTGTTTCATTTTGTTTTTAACACAAGGAATTCATTCCATTTTTATTCTAATAACCTTCACATGTAACTCACACACAGGGAAAAAAAAGGCAGGCAGCAAAAAAAATGCCTGTGAAATTCAGATATAGTAGATAAGGACTTCATATGAGCCATTATAAATATGTTCAAAGAACTGAAGAAAACTATGCTTCAGCCAGTGATGGAAGGTATGATGGCATTGTCTCATGAAATAAAAAATATCAATAAAGAGATAGAAATTATTTTTAAAGGACCAAATGGAACATCTGGAGTTGAAGAATGCAATAACTGAAATAAAAAATTCACCAATGAAGCTCCACAATAGATCCAAACTAGCAGAAGAAACAGTGAATGTGTAGATAGATCAATAGAGATGTTGCAGATCAATAGAGATGTTGCAGTCAAAAAAAAGAGAGATTAAATAATGGTGAAAAATGAACAGAGCCTCAGAGAAATATAGGACATTATTAAGAGCAACAAATACACATAATGAGAGAGACAGAGGAGAAGAGCAAGAAAAAGGAGCAGAAAAAATATGTGAAGAAATAATGGCTGAAATCTTCTCAAAATTGATTAAAAAACAGAAATCTGCATATCCAAAAAGTTCAAAACCTCCAACAATAAATGCAAAGAATAAATGCAAAGAGATATACTTCATAGTAAAATGTTGACAGCCAGAGATAAAGGGTACATCTTGAAAGCAGAAAGAAAAAACTACTTAAAAGCAGTGCTCTCCAACCTTTTCAGCACCAGAGACCAGTTTCATGGAAGACAATTTTTCCACAGACTGGGAGTGGGGGTTGTGGGTGGGAGCGGCAGGGGTGGTTTTGGGATGAAACTGTTCCACCTGTGATCATCAGGTATTAGATTCTCATAAAGAGTGCACAACCTAGATCCCGCACATGCATGGTGCACAATAGGGTTCGTGCTCCAATGAGAATCTAATGCCACCACTGATCTGACGAGAGGTGGAGCTCAGGCGGTCATGCTTACTCACCTGCCACTCACTTCCTGCTGTACAGCCTGATTCTTAACGGGCCATGGACGGATCCCTGTTTTAAGTACAAGGGAACCCTAATAAGATTAACAGCTGACTCCTCATCAGAAAAAATGGAGGCCAGAAACAATCACTTGATACATTTAAATTGCTGAAAGAATAAAACTTTTAATAAGGATCGTATATCCCACAAAACTGTCTTTTAAAAATAAAGGCAAAAGAGGCCAGGTGCAGTGGCTCACACCTGTAATCCCAGCACTTTGGGAGGCTGAGGTGGGCAGATTACCTGAGGTCAGGAGTTCGAGACCAGCCTGACCAACATGGAGAAACTCCATCTCTACTAAAAATACAAAGAATTAGCTGGGGGTGGTGGCACATGCCTGTATTCCCAGCTACTTGCGAGGCTGAGGCAGGAGAATCGCTTGAACCCGGGAGGCAGAGCTTGCGGTGAGCCGAGATTGAGTGCCATTGCACTCCAGCCTGGGTAACAGGAGCAAAACTCCCTCTCAATAAATAAATAAATAAATAAAATAAAAAATAAACAAATAAAGGCAAAATAAAGACATTCTGAAGAAAACAAAACTGAAATAACTTGTTGCTAGTAGACTCACTTTACAAGAAATACTAAAGGAAGCTCTTCAGGCTGAAAGCAAGTGATCTCAGACAATAATTAGAATACACAGAAATAAACAAAGAGCACCAGTAAAGGTAATTATGTAATTATAGAAGATAGCAAAATGCATTTTTTTCTCCTTTCATCTCTTATTGGAAAAACAAATGTACAAAACAGTATGTATCTTTTTGCATAATCAGGCCTGCAACACATACCAATGTAAACTATCTTAAAATTACAGAACAAAGGAAGGAATGGAAGAGAAGCTGTATTGGAAAAAGGAAATAATACCAGATGGTAACTTGAATCAACAGGAACAAAGAAAGAGACCAGAAATGGTAAGAAAGGTAATATAGCACCATTTATAAATATATTATTGCTCTCCTTTACTCTAGCAGCTTCTTTAAAATACATAAAATTATACAAAGTAATAATTATAACAATGTATTCTTGGTCTTGTAACATATAACTAAAATATGTATAACAATAATACCGCAAACAAGAGAAGTAGGACTAGAAATATATAGGAGCAATGTTTCAATATCTCACTGGACTTTAGTATAAATCTAAAGTACAATTGACCCTTGAACAACACAGGTTTGAACTACACAGGTCAACTTATATGTGGATTTTCCTACACCTCTGCTTCCTCCACTTTCAACCTGAAGACAACAAGAATGAAGACCTTTATGATGAGCCACTCAATGAATAGCAAATATATTTTCTCTTCCTTATGATTTTCTTAATAACATTTTCTTTCACCCAGCTTACTTTATTATAAGAATACAGTATATAATAAAAGTAACATACAAAATATATGTTAATTGACTGTTTATGTTATCCATGAAGCTTCAGTTCAACAGTAAGCTCTTAGTTGAATCTGGGGGGAGTCAAAAGTTATACATGGATTTTCAACTGCATTGTGGGGGTGGTTCCCCAAACCCCACATCATTCAAGGTCAACTGTAGATACCATTAAGTTATGAGGTGTATGGTAAGCCCTAGAGCAACCACTGAGAAAATAAATGTAGTGAAAACAAATCATTAAAGGAATTAAGTTTTTCCACTAGAAAATATTCACTTAGTACAAATGAAAGCAATAAAGGGTAGAAGAACAAAACAGTCATGAGACATATAGAAAACAAAGAGTTAAATGACAGACATTAATTTAAATGTATCAATATAACATTAAATGTAAATGATGAAACAATCCAACTAAAAGAAATTATCACACTGGATTAAAAAAATAAGATCCTATCATATGCTGTCTACAGATGCAAACTTTTGAATTAAAGATACAAATGGGTTGAAAATAAAAAGATAAAATGGATATATCATGGAAAGGGCGTGTAAAAACTCTTGAACACGGCCGGGTGTGGTGGCTCACACCTGTAATCCCAGCATTTTGGAAGGCTGAGGTGGGCGGATCACTTGAGGTCAGGAGTTCCAGACCAGCCTAGCCAACATGGTGAAACCCTGTCTGTACTAAAAATACAAAAAATTAGCCAGGCATGGCAGTGCATGCCTATAGTCCCAGCTACTCAGGAGGCTGAGATGAGAGGATCGCTTGAGCCCAGGAGACAGAGGTTGCAGGAAGCCAAGATTTCTCCACTGCACTCCATCCTGGGCAACAGAATGAGACTCTGTCTCAACAACAACAGCAACAACAACAACAAAACAACTCTTGAACAAGGAGATTTGATGAGTTTTACAGGGAGGTGCTGGAGGTGGCCTGTCCAGAGAACATGGAAACTCAGTGTTCATCTCCCCTACACCTTGCATCTCTTCCATCTGATTGGTCCTGAGTTTTATCCTTTATAATAAACCAGTCAATGTAAGCAAAGCATTTCTCTGAGTTCAGTAAATGTAAAGTATTTCCCTAAGCCATTCTATCAAACATAGAAGTGGGTCATGGGAGCCCTTAATTCATAGCTAGTAAGCTCTCAAGTTGTGGAATCTGATGCTAACTGCAAGTATATAGAGTCAGAATTAAATTAAATTGTAAGACACCCAATTGATGTTCAGAGAGTTGGAGAATTGCTTGGTGCAGAAAAAAAATTCGCACATCTGGTATCCAAAGTGTTGGCTGAAAGTATAGAGAAACAGAGTGTGTTTTGCTCAACCACTGGTAATTGGAGACAAATACTGCACCTTCAGCACTACATAGAGCAATTAGGCAGAAGACGAACAAGAAAACAGAAGACTTGAGCAACACTGTAAACCAACTAGACCTGAGAGACATCTATTCAACACTTCACCCCAAAACGGCAGAATGCACATTCTCCTGAAACACAGAACATTCTCCAGAGGAGACCACATGTTAGGTTATAAAACACATTCCAATAAATTGAATAGGACTGGAATCATATATGTTATCAGACCACAATGGAATGAAATTAGAAGTTAGTAACAGAAAAAAAAAATTGGCAAATTTATAAATATGCGAAAATTACACAAGATATACTAAATAATCAATGAGACAAAGAAGAAACCACAAGCAAAATTAGATAATAAAATGAATGAACAAAAAGACATAATACACCAAAACTAATGCAATGCAGCTAAATCAATTGTGGGAGCCAAGAGAAAAACTTCCCTTTCACCCTCTGAAGTTTTGCTGAAAAGTCAACTCGCCAAAGGCAGATTAATTAGAGAAAAGGCATACAAATGTATTAACATGTTTACAGAAAGAACCACAGGATGACCACCCATTCACTAACAGAGTTCAGAAGCTTATATACCATTTCGAAGTTACAGAATAAATGGGGCTTGGATCCTGGCAAAACAGATTATGGGAGAGAGGAGAAGCAGAATTCTGTTGAGGGGCAATAAAGAGGAACAGAGATTAACTGATACATAATTTCCTTTGGATTTGAATGACCCTGGGAGAAAGACATTATCTTGTGAAATGAATTGTCAGCGGTTCAGATCTGCCTTCATGCTTGGTCTTACGGGAGAAGAAAAAACTAGTTTTTTGTTTGTTTGTTTGTTTGTTTGTTTGTGTGTTTGAGATGGAGTCTCACTCTGTCACCCAGGCTACATTGCAGTCACATGAACACAGCTAACTGCAGCCTTGGCCCCCTGAACTCAAGTGATCCTCCCTCCTCAGCCTCCCAAGTAGCTGAGACCACAGGTGTGACTAATTTTAAAACTTTTTCTGTAGATTCAGGGTCTCACTATGTTGCTTGGGCTGGTCTTGAACTCCTGGGCTATAGCAATCCCTCTCACCTTAGGGATTGGGATTACAGGTGCGAGCCACCACATCCAGCCAAAACCATTGTTTTTTGTTGTTGTTGTTCTTGGTCAGGATTTGGGGCAGATAAACGAGCTTCGGAGAACAACTTCCTCAAGGCTTTGTGAAAGTAGGTGGTAGGGGGAGGTCAGAGAGACCATAAGGCTTCTTCTTCAGTTCAGCATGTCAAAGCACCACATTTTAGGGCCTCAGTTTTTGAGCCCCAACACAACACTCAAAGGGAAATTTTAAGCCATAGACATCTATATTAACAGAGAGGAATAATAACCTAAACTTGCAGCTTAAGACATTGGAAGAAGGTCGGGCATGGTGGCTCTCGCCTGTAATCCTAGCACTTTGGGAGGCCGAGACAAGTGAATCAGCTGAGGTCAGGAGTTCGAAACCAGCCTGGCCAATATGGTGAAACCCCCTCTCTACTAAAAATAAAAAAATTAGCCTGTAGTCCCAGCTACTTGGGAGGCTGAGGCAGGAGAATAGCTTGAACCCGGGAGGCAGAGGTTGCAGTGAGTTGGGGTTGCACCACTGCACTCCAGCCTGGCAACAGAGTGAGACTCCATCTCAAAAAAATAAAATAAAATAAAATAAAATAAAATAAAATAAATTAACACTTGGAAGAAGAAGAATAAATTAAACTGGGAGCGAACAGAAGAAAGACAATGCTAAAGGTGAGCGCAAAATAAAAAAAAAAAAAAAGGAAAACAATCAAAGAAGCCAAAAATTGGTTCTTTGAAAAGATAAAGAAAATTGAATTTTAGATGCACTGACCAAAAATTAAGAGAGAGGAAACACTCAAAAATTTTCAATCAACAATAAGAGAGGGAACATAACGATCACCTTATAGAAATCATAAGAGTTATAGGTGACTACCATAAACAACAGTATGTCAACAAATTAGATAACGTGGAAGAAATAAAATTTTCTTTATATATATATATATATATATATATATATATAAAATTTTTTTTTTTTTTTTTTTTGGTAAAGACAGGGTCTCACTATGCCACCCAGGCTGGTCTCAAAGTCCTGACCTCAAGCAATCCTCCTGCCTCAGCTTCCCAAAGCACTGGGATTATGAAAAATTCTTAAAAAGACACAAGTTGTTGCGGCCAGGCACAGTGGCTCACGCCTGTAATCCCAGCACTTTGGGAGGCCAAGGTGGGTGGATCATTTGAGGTCAGGAGTTCTGGACCAGCCTGACCAACATGGTGAAACCCCATCTGTACCAAAAATATGAAAATTAGCCGGGTGTTGTGATGGGCACCGGTAATCCCAGCTACTCGGGAGGCTGAGGGATGAGAATCGATTGAACCCAGAAGGTAGAGGTTGCAGTGAGCCAAGATTGTGCTCTGAAGCACAAATCCCATTCTGCCTTGAGACCAGGGCCCAGTCTTTTGCATGAAGGCTTAGTCAGTTGTTGTCTGTGTGCTGTCTGCAGGAGGAAGTAGGGGCTAAGTGGGCCAAGGCAATGCTCTGCCAAGTCCATGTTCTGGAGAAAGCGAGTAGCAGTGAGCACTAAGCAGCCAGCACTCAGTGTAGCAGGGGCTTGGGTGGGCATGGTTAAAGGGTACTGCGCTATTTGTACAGGAATTAACATCTCTTAAGAAATGGCTGCCACTCTTTCAGTGATTACGTACCAAGCACTGTACTCAAAAATGGGCTTAGATTTTCTCATTTAATCCCCACAACACTATGGAGAGATAAACAACTTTTTTCCCCCTTCTGCAGATGAAGAAACTAAGGCTAAGTAACATTAAATAATGTTTGAAATTACGGATAACAAGCCAGGGGAGATGGTTCACGCCTGTAATCCCAGCACTTTGGGAGGCCGAGGTGGGAGGACCACTTGAGGTCAGGAGTTCAAGACCAACCTGGCCAACATGGTGAAACTGCGTCCCTACTAAAAATACAAAAATTAGCCAAGTGCAGTGGCAGGCACCTGTAATCCCAGCTACTTGGGAGGCTGAGGCAGGAGAATCATTTGAACCTGGGAGGCGGAGGTTGTAGTGAACTGAGATCATGCCACTGCACTCCAGGCCTGGGAGACAGAGTGAGACTCCGTCTCAAAAAAAAAAAAAAAAAAAAAAAAAAGAAATTACAGATAATAAGAGGCAGAGAGAACCTGGATCAGAATCTAAGAAAAAAAGAAAAAAAGACGCATTTATTCAGTGCCATGATCAGACTGTTACATTTAGCAACCAACAGCATGGATGCAAAAAAAACAAAAAACAAAAAAACACACATTAAAACCCTTTGTTGGAATGCTTTACACTTTCCACACAACAGAAACTAAAATAACCTGTTATACAATTAGTCACAAACACAGTCCTCGAGTTTTTTGCCCATACACATGAGTATTTGTCTAAAACATGTCTTCTTTGTAGCAGCTAGGTCCTGCCACCACTGTGTTTGGCTGAGTTCACAATCTGTTGTAACCTGCAGCTTCCTTGTCACTTCTCTAGCTCTCCTCTTCTGACACTGCCATAGCTACTACTGCTACTAGAATGGCCACATCCACCTTGGTTTCGTGGTTTGGCACATAATTGGCCTCCACCACCGTAGGGGCCAGAGCTTCTGCTTGCAA